TTGCTGCCACCAATTCTTTTCTTTTACCAGTATTTATGAACTTTGTAGCAACACAAAGGCAAGTCTAGAATAGCATAAAACACTAGTTCTGAAAACAAATAAATAAATCCCCTTATACCATTCACAGAAAAAGTTATACATAATACCCAAAAATTCAGAATTTTTGAGAGAATATCTTAATTAAATCAGTCAAAGACGAGATGGAATTTTTACCTTTACCAGATATGACTTCCTTCTCTGTCCTCCACCTTAAACCAATCTATAAGTATAATTCAAACACTTAAAAAAATTCCCAAATAAAACAGGAAAATAAAAAAAGTATAAATATGATGAGCGACTGGATGGATACCTTGCCACTTTTATATTGTGACATGTCTGCTATGCAGTATCTAGGACAAGTTAAAGAAAACAAAAGGAAAAATAGCAACTGATTATTAAACTTGGAACTTGAAAGACAAGCATGGATTAATGCCTGCTCCTTGCTGTCAGTAAAGAATCTTCGTCTAAACCTCTCGTTTCAGGACAATGAATTGATCACAAGAAATGAATGATTTTTTATAAAAGTTTCAACAACACACAGAATAATCTAGAGATTTAAACAGTCAAAGGATACTCTTTAAAAAGCTTGTCATAATAGCGCTTCACCAGCCTTTGCTCCCAGGCTGGATTTTGATCATCTTCCTCTGAACGTATGAACCTTTATTAATTAATCAAAAAGTAAATACAAAATATTTGTGTATAGGTAGAGCTTAGAGAGATATGCACAACAAGTGAAAAAACTATAACAAGAACGACATACCGATATCCCTCTCTAAGGGTGTCCTGATCAGTTTTAACAGGCAACTTTACATGTTGAGATTTGTCTTTCCCATAAAAGGCAACTGTCAAGCAAGAATTACAAAAAGATTCAATAGAAAAAAAAAAAAAAAAGAAGAAAAAGGAATACAATGTATGGGCAAGTGTAGCCTCCTTCCTTCCCTAAAGGAGAAGAATGTTCATCACCCATTATGTTTGGTTGCTTTAGGACACAAGGATTTAACAAACACAAAGCTCCTTATTTGCCAATCTCCTCTGGTGTCCCTTTTTTCAATTAATGAAGCAGCATACAAAATACAGCATAATTTAAAATTAAAAAAAAATCAATTCTAGAAAGTGATATGATAGCAATAAAACAAACAGAGAACAAGGTAAGTATAGTTTTTCGATCCCTAATATTGATTTCTGAGCTGAAAAAATCAGAAATCCATCACATTTGAGATTTGGCAGAGGGCTGAGGCTGCGGAATTGTAATTTGTAGATCAAATACCACATCCATCTCGGTAAAGCATTAAAAATACTAATGATTTAGCGCAAAAAAAGAAAAAAAAAAAAACCCTAATTGTTCAATAAAGAAGAGGGAGTGGTACCGTAATCGTTCAAGAACTTTTTGTGGCGGTCGTATGCATTGAGGCCGCGAATCTGGGCTTGGTACTGCCTGAAACAC